ATGAGCATCAGAAAACACAACCAGAACACGGAAAATTGAACTTTTCGGAAGTCCGGTAACAACAAATTCTTCAGCCCGACCGGTAAGGGGCGAAACCGGCGTCTCGTGAGGGGTTGCACAGGACTCCGGTCGGACGGACCCAGGCGCGGAATCCAGAGACACGAACCCAGACGCACGGGTCCCAAACCCAGGATTGGACCTAGTGAGCGACCGAGCAACCCACCGGGTGAGCGACTGCTGAGGAGACAGTGGGGAGGCGGTGCTGCGTGTTGACTGCGGTTGCCTATCTGTGGGCGAGCGGACAGGCGAGGGAGTGGGCGCTTGGACTGGCCCCGGCCGTCCCCGTGGCCTGCGGCATAGAGGGCGCCGCCATATCCCCGCTCTGACCACGCCCCCACATACAGCGTCACAACCCAGCGACCTGGGAGTCCAAGGCGCCGCTTCTCCCGCTTAAAGGGCCAGAACAGACCAAAAATGTCGCAGGAAGACCTCAAAGCCCCAGAGATAAATCTAAGCGACGAAGAAATAGCAAAACTCTCAGACGCACAGTTTAAAACACTGGTCATCAGGTTCCTAACAGATCTGGTTGATTATAGCCACAAATTAGAGAAACATATGAAGGCTAAACTAAGGGAAATGAGTGGAATTCCACAGGAAACCCATAGAGATGAAAAGGAAACTGGGACTCAAATCAAGGAAGTGGACCAGAAGAAACCAAATAATGGCCAAACAGAAAAGAGTCAAGAAGCAAGAATTCAAAGAAATGAGGAGAGTCTTAGGAACCTCCAGGACATCTTTAAACGCTCCAATATCCGAATTATAGGGGTACCAGAAGGGGGAAAGACACAACCACCAGTGGAAAAATTATTTGAACAAATAATAAAAGAAAATTTCCCCAATCTGGCAAAGGAAATAGACTTCCAAGAAATCCAAGAAGCTCAGAGAGTACCAAAAAAGTTGGACTCAAGAAGAAACACACCAAGGCATATCATAATTACATTAGCCAAAATTAAAATGAAGGAGAGAATCCTAGAAGCAGCAAGAGCTAAGGGGACAATCACCTACAAAGGAGTCCCCATCAGGCTGTCAGCAGATTTCTCAAAAGAGACCTTACAGGCAAGAAGGGGCTGGAAAGAAATATTCCAAGTCATGAAATCTAAAGACCTACAACCAAGATTGCTCTATCCAGCAAAACTTTCATTTAGAATGGAAGGACAGATAAGGTGCTTCTCAGATAAGATCAAATTCAAGGAGTTCATCATCACCAAGCCCTTATTATATGAAATGTTAAAGGGACTTATCTAAGAAAAAGAAGTTAAAGAAACATGAACAGTGAAAGGACAACAAGCTCACAGTTATTAACAACCACACCTAAAACGAAAGCAAACTAAAAGAACAGCTAGATCAGGAGTGGAAACATAGAAATGAAGATCTCAAGGAGGGTTAGCAACAGGGGGAGTGGGAGGAGGAGATGGGGGGAGAAGGTACAGAAAATAAGTAGCATAGACAGTAGATAGAAAATAGATGGGGGGCAAGAATAGCATGGGAAATATAGAACCTAAAGGACTTTATGAGACACATGGACGTAAACTAAAGGGGGTAATGGTGGGGGCGGGGGTGCAGGGTGGAGGGGGAAAATGAAGGGGGAATAGAACAACTGTAACAGCATAATCAATTTTAAAAAATAAATTAAAAAAAAAAAGAAAAAGTTATGTTTATGTATCATCAAGAAATCTACTCAAATGATACCTATTAACAACCTGGTTAAAATATTAACTATAAAACACTGATAACTTTATAAAAGAACCTGGTAGATACCACCACAATATATTGATCAAGGATTCAAACACTAGCAAATGGAAAAATTAATATCATATTTCTTCTTATAATATGCAGTGTGGTATACCTGGTGAAAATCTAAGCCTGAAACATACATACATTAATACATACATGCACATGGAAGGTAAATACAGTAAAACATTAAACACTGGGGAATAAGGTTAGGGACCTTTCCAGGAATTCTTGACATCATTTTTATAACATTTTTGTATCTTTAAAATCATTTCCAAATTAAAAGTTGAAAATTTTTTTGTCCCAGCTGGCACATGCCCAAGAAGTAAGGAGTCCAGCCATCACTGGAATCAGGGACACTGTCCCTTAGGACTCTAGTCCCTCTGCTCTTGGACACCCAGCTCCCCAAAGGGCAGGCAGAATTAGCCAGAAGCTTGGGGACTGGGTGTCAGTCTCTAATTAGTAGGGGTTATCTGTTGAGTCTTTTCTCTGGAGCTGCTTAAACAAAATGAAAGTGCTAAGAAGTGCCAAGCCCCAGATATTTCTTCTATCTGTGTCAATGTTAGGACTTCTGAGGAAAACCTGAGGAGCCTGGCAACAGTCTGGAGCAGAAGGTGTCTCAACTCACCAAAGATGAGCACAGGTCAGAGAGGCTGGATGTCTGCACAGATGGACAGATCTGCCTGTGTGATGGTTGATTCATGATGAGAGTCTTAAGTTCATGACTATGAGTCTGTCTCTGCGAGTCTTCAGGTACTGTATATGCTTGTGTACATTCTGATTGATAGTTGCATTTGTGTGCACACGTGTGTGCACAGGTATCTGACTCACAGCCTGATTCTCCCTGAGGCAGACCTAACTTGGCCACATTTTATCCTATGGACACCAAGTTATCAGCCTCTTGCTTGTGATTAGAAACTTGTGATTCATGGAAGTTCTTCCATGACAGCTGAGCATCTGTGGTGAAGTTGTAGGCTCTGGTGCTGGACAAGAAGATGCCTGACCTCAGAGGAGACAACATCGGGTCAGAGAAGGGTCATGTCTCTGCTCAGCAGCATGTGCTGGTGAATGTGTGAGCTGTGTCTGTGGGTGACACACTGGTGTGTGAGAAGAGGAGGGTGTCGTGTTTGGTTTTCTCTGTATATTGGCCTATTGTGTGACCATGTGCATGGCATTGTGGTTTACCATGTGCACACCATGTTGTGGTGGTTTAATGAGTGCACCTGTGACTGAATAGGCTAACCTGCCCCAGGCTGAAGGCCTTCCCCCAGGAAGGGGATGGGTCAGAAGGGCAGAAGCGTGCCCTCATGTTTAATAGGAGGGTGTGTGCTGCTTGTGTGGTGAGTGTGTGCCTGGGTGTGCATATGTGCTGTTCATGTGTGTTTCTTGTGAGATTTTTTCTGTGGCCTTCTGTGTTTTATGTGATGTATGTGTAGTGTTAGTGTGTATGAGCTGTTTACTGGGTGTGTCATGAGTCAGGTATGTTGATGTGCATTGTGAGTGTGTTTGCAGGTGACTGGTCCATCAAAGTGTGTTGTGTATGTCTCATTTGTGTGTTTCTGATGATCTCTCTGTATATCCATGTGTGTTTATAGCTCTCCTTCCCTTAGGGTGGCAACTTGGTAACAGGTAAGTAATATTCACAAATCAGCACTGTGTGTGTGATGTGCATCGACAACCTCAATTTTTCTTAAGTGTCCTAATTCTGGGGCACCATTAGCTGAGAGAACCCAACTCCAAATGTCCTGTGTGTAGAAACAGACCTGCTGTCATATTCATGTACCTGAGTGTGACTGAATTGCAAATCGAAATTTGTAACTCTTTATTTTTACTGAACATCCCAGGCAAAAGAAAAGCCAGACATCCTGCTGTGAGAATTTATTGGGCAGAATGACCTTCAAATCGTGGTGACCATGGAAAGTTATTTAAATCCTTGGCCTCAGTTTACATCTATAAAATGGAAAGAATTACACTTCCTTCTGAATGTTACAGAGGCCTGCAGTAATTGCTTATTGTATAAAAATTTGTATGTACTGGAGAATTTTTCTCACTTGCAATGTATATAAATGTGAAGGAACAAAATTAGTAAGAAGACTGAGAAAATTTTGACCAATGTGAGTCCTTACAGCTCTAAAATAATATATCGTCCTGGGTTCCACAGCCAAAATGCGTAGTTTCCATGTGAAGTGGGTTATAGCATTGGTGCTGATTAGATGGATGTATTATCCTGAACGCCATGAAGCAGCTAATACTTGGTAATTATAATGCATAGAAAATAACACACATATGTCATTTATATATTATATATCACATGTAATATAAACACAGATACACACAACTACGTACCAGTCTGCCCGTCACTGTACTGCTCGGTGCCCCCAGAGTTTGTATCAATATGTTTCTACTTCTTAAAAGCTGAAATAGGTGAAAGACCACAAATTCTTACTGCAGCTGTGAAGTGGTTGTATTATCTGGGAATGTAAGGCTGATGAGTGGATGTAAGTAGGGAACAGCAGTGAAGTCCTCAGTCCAGTACCCAAATATTCACCAAAATGTTCAGCACTTTTATGAAAGGCAGTTTGTGGACTTTTCTGGTTTCAGAGCTATTGTGGCATCAAGTGGCTTTAAAAGGTCACCAGTTCCTAGACTGTCGCTGAGGTTACAGCTGTAGGTGCACGGGACTTGGCCAGTTTACAGGCATTGTTCCAATATCTCTTCAGCACTGGAGTCTCATATTTACTTAAGGCAGACAGACTTGATCCCAGTTTTCAGGGCTTATCTTCCATCTCTGCTGCAGTGAATTCTGTATTCACTGGACTGGGGTACAAATTATCCCTCCATGTTCCCTGAGCTGTAAACTCTAAGAAATGAGTACCTTGCTTTTCTTGATGACTGTAGCATCTGAGTCCTGTTTAGAGGTACCAACACAGACTCTGTGTTCAGTAAGTAATGGCTAAATGAAATGGTAAACACTTCCTGCTTTTGTGCAATGTGGTCTTGTTGGCTTCTTTTGGGGTTCAGTGTTTTCATGGAACCAGATGGGTTATAGCAGAGATGCATACATTTACTAGTACAAAAATTAATAAGGTTATAGAGAAAATTTCATAATTTTTCCAGAAAATTACAGTATGAGATGTGATGGTCCCGGTTTTATTTCCAGGATTCTGAGAGTCCCAAACCTTCCTCATGTCCAGCAGAGAGATGAGCAGCATGAGGCCTGGGAACCAGAGCAGCCTGTCCGAGTTCCTCCTCCTGGGGATCCCCATCAGGCCAGAGTACCAGGGAGTGTTCTTTGCCCTGTTCCTGGGCATGTACCTGACCACAGTGCTGGGCAACCTGCTCATCATCCTGCTCATCAGGCTGGACTCCCGCCTGCACACACCCATGTACTTCTTCCTCAGGCACTTGGCCTTCTCTGACATTTCTCTGTCATCTGTCACTGTTCCTAAGATGCTAATGAATATGTACACACAGCAACTATCCATTCCCTATGTGGGATGCATTTTCCAGTTGTATTTTTTCATACTTTTTGGTGGTCTTGACAATTTACTTCTGGCAGTCATGGCATATGACAGGTACGTGGCCATCTGTCACCCTCTATACTATACCACCATCATGAGGGAGGGGCTGTGTGCACTGTTGGTGGCTGGATCCTGGATCATCTCCTCTGGCAGTGCCCTCCTGCACACCATACTCTTGGTCCGACTGTCCTTCTGTGCCAACAATGTCATCACCCACTTCTTCTGTGAACTCACTGTGCTCCTGAAGCTCAGCTGCTCAGACATTTCCCTCAATGAGCTGGTCCTCCTTCTCCAGGGGGGAGTGTTTTCTGTCCTGGCTTTAGCTATTATTTTAGGGTCATATATTCATATAGGAACCATCATCCTGAAGGCTCCCTCCACTAAGAAACTCTTGAAAGCCTTTTCTACCTGTGGCTCCCATTTTTTTGTGGTGTCTTTATTCTATGGGACACTTGTAGGTGTTTACTTATTGTCCTCATCATGGGATTCTAAACACATAATTGCTTCAGTCATGTATTCAATAGTTACCCCCATGCTGAACCCCTTCATCTATAGCCTGAGGAACAGAGATATAAAGCAGGCCTTAGAATGTTTGTCAATTGGGTTAAAGAAGATAATATGTCAGTGAGGTCACATTTGCTACTTGGATTGTTTATAGTTCTGTATTCCTAAATAATGTTTTTCACTTGTTCATCATCTTTTATAAGGTATCTAAAAATCTTCTGCAAACTGTTGTACAATTTTAACTTTGAATTTGTCTTTTTCTCCACTGAGATATGTCAGTTTTTGCTTATATCTTTTTACACTGTTCTATAAAGACATACAGATTTAGCATCATGATCTGCTACTAATGAAGTAACTTTTTTTTTAACTGAATTTATGCTGGCTTTTGTCACTTTCAGGTTCATTGTGCACATGTCTTCCCAACTCACATTCAATGACATCATGTTGGCTGAATGCAATACCCATGATCAGAATAATTTTACTATGAAAATTCACATGTGTTACAAAGCAAAACTTTTAGTCAAAGAGAGACAGACTTTTTAAAATACACTTAAAGCATACTACTTCATATAAAATTAGAAGATATTTTTAGCAATGCATCCTGTGTTAATACCTCATCTATTTCTCTTATTAATATTGATACTTTATATCTGTAGACATAGAGGTATATAATATGTAGATATAGATATAGGTATTATATAGTATATCTTATAAAGATGCACCTTTTCTCATGTGCAGTTGTACATAACATTTTTTCCATTACTTTAGACTTTTCTGTCACCAAATTGTCAGTGACGTGTTCTTTTGTCAATGGTGTAAGTAAACTTAGATTTTGTCCTTTTTATGTACAGCAACAATTGTTATTTCTGGAGCTATTTCTCTATTGACACCTAAAGTAATCATAATGTATTTGAATTTATATTTTCTCTACAACTTTCGGATACACCTGTTTCACATTTATTCTCTCTTGTGTTGCTCCCTTTTGATTAATTACCTGTATTTTGATATTCTGTTACCCATCTACTAACTTATTAATCATACATTGTTATTATCTTATAATTGTTTTCTGTGCTGTATGCAGAGATTACTTCTTACTTCCCTTTTAGTTTTTAGGTAAAGTTTAATGTACAAAACATGACATTGGCCACTTTAGCCTTCTATTATAAACAATTCAGTAGCATTTAGGAGACTCATCACCAATATCTCATTTTAGGACCCCTGAATAAACCTCTACAGAGCATCAATGAAACTGAGTAATTTGCAACTATAAAAAAATAAAAACACAGATCTCTATTAATCAGTATGGAAAAACATCTGGACATATTGTTACATGGAATCAAGCAATGTGGCAAATGGCACTCAGAACAAAGAAATTTTTGTAAAAATTAATAAGAAATAAAATATACATTTGTCTGTGCTCTTGGCAAAAAGTAACACAGGAAGTATAAATCAGAAACTAATGAGGTGGATTACCTGGAGAAAGTGGACAGAAGTGATGAGAAATTAGTATAATCATTAGTGTGGTTATGAGCATATTGTGTTTTGCAAGTAGAAAATAAATAGAAGAGGTGGTTCATGAAGCAAAATAGAATGAAGAAGACAAATGAACCTAACTGTATGTTAAATTATTACTATAATAGAGTACGATGAAAATAGTGTAATTACCTTAGTAATTTCTGAATCCAGAAATTTGTCTATATACTTTCACAATAAAACAAAAAACAAGAAAATGGAAATTAAATTTTAAGCTGTAGTGTGTCATTAATAGTTTCATGTATGAGTTCAAGATTCTGAACTACTTCCCATCTATCCAAACATTCAGCAAATAAGTCAATACTGAGGATACCTCTGACATCTGTTTCTCACCTGTGACTGTCCCTAAAATGCTCATGACCATGCAGACTAATCACTTCTTCATTTCCTACCCATGGTGTATTTCTCAGTTGTATTTTTATTTATTTTTTGGTTGCATTAATAATTCTCTTCTGGCAGTGATGGCATATGACAGGTATGTGGCCATCTGTCACCCTCTACACTACACCAGTATCATGAGCAAGAGGCTGTGTGCGCTGCTGGTGGCTGGTTCCTCAATTATTTCCTGTGGCAGTGCTGTGATGCACACCCCTCCTTGCCCAGGTGTCCTTCTGTGCTGACAACATTATTCCCCACTTTTTCTGTCGTCTCTCTATTCCACTCAAGCTGTCCTGTGAGCTGGTCATATTCACCCCAGGGGTTGTGATTGTCATTTTTCCATTGAGTGGCAACCTGGTTTGTTATGGCCACATTGGAGCCTTTATCTTCAGGGTACTTCTACCAAAGAGACTGCAAAGTCTTGTCCACATGTGGCTCCCACCTGGCTGTGGTGTCTCTCTTCTATGGGACAATTTTGGTTCTGTACTTTTCCTCCTCATGAAGCAACTCCACTGACTAGAACATGGTTGTACCTCTGATGTACACAGTAGTCACCCCCATGTTAAACCCCTTCATCTATAGCCTGAGAAACAGAGACATGAAGTTGGCTCTGCGACTATTTTCAGAAAAAGGATCCTTTTTGCCAAGTTAGAATCACATAATTGTGTTCTTATTTCATATAGTGAACCTTGTCAGTCATCCTGAAAAATGGCCTGTTGACCACCCGTGTCTCTAACATCCTCCCAACTGTCCTTACTGGATCTACGCCCTTTTACTTTACTCATATTTGTTGTCCTTTTATTCTTCCATGATCCAAAATATGGCATTTCCCACAACACACATGCAACTTGTAGTCTTCAAACTCTTTATTAGTCAGGCATGGCCTGATCACCCTAAATAGCTCACACTGTTGTGTTCTGTTGCTGAGAAGAGGAAGGACAGGCTGAGATCACAAAGCACAACAATCACCTTTCTCCAAAAGCAAATGGCACCTGCATCTTATGCTTCCTTTGAGAAGATATAACCACTCTAGCTTTAGGCTAAGATTACAAGTATGAAATGTGGCTGAGTTTCTGGCTGCTAGATGGCAGAGGGCAGCATTCCCAAGTGTGTCACAGTACCTCACTTTATAGTGAAGTGAACAATGGCCCTTCAAGCAAAGCCAGTTAAAATTTTGTTCAATATTGTTTTGATAGGTAAGAAAAAACCCTCCTCAGGAAAAGGTAATATAACTTTAATCATAACTCACTTTCCGTGTGTTGAAGAAAATGAGATATAAATCACTTATTTCCCCTTTCTTTTTTTATAAATATTTTAAATTATTTATTTATTTTTATTTATTTTTAATTTTATTTAGTTATTTTTTCAAGTACAGTTTTTTTGTCTATTTCTTCCATCCCAGCCTCCCCCACCCCTTGCTCCCCACCTCCCTCCCATTTCCACCCCCTTAGTCCTCGTCCCTCTGTCCTTCATATTTGTTCCTCAAAATCCCTCCCCCTTTTTCCCCTTAACTTCCCTTCCCTCTCCCCTCTGGTCGCTGCCCCCTTGTTCTCTATTTCAGCGTCTTTGTTTTTCTTTTTGTTCTGCTTGCTTGTTTTATTGTTTAGCTTCCTGTTAAAGGTGAGATCATATGGTATTTGTCTTTCAATGCCTGGCCTATTTCACTCAGCATAATGCTTTCCAGTTCCATCCATGTTGTTGCAAAGGGTAGTAGCTCCTTCTTTCTCTCTGCTGCATAGAATTCCATGGTGTATATGTACCACAATTTTTTGATCCATTCATTTACTGATGGGCACCTAGGTTGCTTCCAACTCTTGGCTATTGTAAATTGTGCTGCTATGAACATTGTGGTGCATAGGTTCTTTGATATTGATGCTTTAGGATTCTTAGGATATAATCCTAGCAGTGGAATTGTTGGATCAAAAGGCAGGTCGATTTTTATTTTTCTGAGAAAATTCCATACTGTTTTCCATAATGGTTGTACCAGTCTGCAATCCCACCAACGGTGAACTAGGGACCCCTTTTCCCCACAACCTCTCCAACATTCGTTGTTTGTTGCTTTGTTATGGTAGCCATCCTGACTGGTGTAAAGTGGTATCTCATTGTGGTTTTAATCTGCATCTCTCTGATAGCTAATGATTCCCCTTTCTTATCTATTGTTTTCCAAACTGCAAATATCCATCCAAGTTTCTAATGTTTAGTTTAATAAAGTTTAGTACATTTACCATTTTAATATAGTAGATAGTTAATAAAATGCTGGTTTTTGATGGTTTCCTAAAATCTAAAAAAATTTAATGTGATTGTGTTTACGACAAAAGCATAACAGGGGAGCACTCTGTAGGAAACTGCAATTTTTGCCTTTAAGTTGGATTTTTGTGGTGAGATCAGGCTATGTCTCTCTGATTAATGTTAGTCTGGGTTTTCCCAGACTAACATTCCCAGTTCCCAGTTCCCAGTGGGAACTGTGTTGTTCCCAAACTGGGAGGTCCCATTTCTGATTCCTTTTATAAGAAGAAATTTTATTTATTTATTTTTAGATAGAGGGGAAGCAAGGGGGAAAGAGAGAGGGAGAAACATTATTGTGAGAAATATCGACTAGTTGCCTCTCGTATGCATCCCGACCAGTGACCAAACCTGAAACCCAGGCATGTGCCCTGACCAGGAATTGAACTGGCAACCCCTCGTTTTTCAGGACAATGCCCAACCCCTGGACCCACACTGGCCATGGTGAGAGCTCCCACATCTAATAGGGAAAAGCTAAATGCATGAGCTCCTAATTCATGCATATAAAAATATTTGTTGCATAGCTACTCTTGTGCCAGAAGGTCTTAGTTCTGTGAATAAAGATTTTTAAAAAGACCCCAAAACTCATCCTCATGTAAGGACTTACACTCCGGCCCTCCTGCCTCCACTCATCAGGCTCCTTTGGCTTCATAGCAGCTTCTAATCTTCTACGACACCATGGAGTTTACTAATTTCCTTTATTTTCATTGTTTCTTCAGTGGAATGTAAGCACTACACAAGATGGTTTGATGTCAGAAATAAAGAAATAAACTGTAAGTTTCGTTTGTAGGTAAAAACTGCTATGAATAAAGGCAGTGTGAAAAGGGGTAGCAAGATGGCCATCAGAAAGGACAACATCTTACCCTTTTTGACATCATGGATGGACCCAGAGGGTATTAGGCTAAGTGAAACAAAACAGTCAGACAAGGA